CTTTTCTTTTTATCTTTGTAAATAAAATTAAGTTTAGACTGTAATAAAGAATGAGAAGCATTTGAGCAAAAGGAGCTGCAGACTGTGCTCCACCCAGACAAAGGGGAGGTCATCTTTTATGTGAAAGTTCTTGTTCAGGTTCTCACTTAGGTCTGTTTTATGTAAATGAGGTATTCAAATTGTGCAGTTCTTATTGGACAGGACAGATCTCAGCCAGTTGGTAGAAAGATGAAACTGGGGTTTCCCTGCATTGGTTGACTCAGACGGTGGTATAAACAAGTAGAGCATAGTGCAGGAAGCAGAGAGTTCAGTCTGGGGTGAGAAGTCCTGTCTGCAAATGGCTGCTGGCTGTTATTATTTATAAAATTTGGTTCGTCAGTTGGCCATGGGGAGTCCTTCTCAGCAGATAAATCCTTCTTGGGCTTCACATCAAATGAATCTTTCTTCTCGGGGTCTACTATCTGGAAGGGATGAAAGGTCACCAGACCTTTGCTCTGCTACTTCCCAGCTTCTCGCTCAACTGGGAGAAAGCTTTGGCTTAGAAACTCACAGGTGGTGGTGCCCAGAGACACAGGTTTGGGGTTGGCTATGGAGAAGCTCTTGCATTATTTGAAGCCAGCTGTAGTCCCTTCTCAAGTTGCTCTTGTAAATTATCTGCTCTTGGACCACCTGGGTTCACATTTTCAGGAAAGTGGATCATCCAACGATGGCAACGCAAACCCAAGCGCCTATTTTAATTTATCTAGAGAATGACAGCTGGAAACAAAGGGCGTGGGCAGGAGGGCGGTTACTGTGGAGAACTCATTCTCTTTCAAGATTCAGTTCAAATATCATTCATCCTCTCTAGCAGTCTTTGACCTTCCCTACCCTAGAAATAAATCTGACCCTTCAAAGACAGAATGTTTTCTCCCCCATCTTTATTTCAATGGCATATTATTCATATTCTGTTATTTAGAAAGCACATTGGTTTTTTAATTTTTTTTTCTGTATTGATTTTAGAGAGAGAGGAAGGGAGAGGGAGAGATAGAAACATCAATGAGAGAGAACATCGATTGGCTGCCTCCTGCATACCCCTCCCTGAGGATCAGGCCCAAAACCTGGGCATGTGCCTTGACCAGGAATTGAACCAGGGACCTCTTGGTGCATGGGTTGATGCTCAACCACTGAGCCATGCCAACCGAGTGCACATTTGTTTTTTGAGTCAAGCAGATTTAAGTTTGAATCTAGTTCAATTATCACCTGTGGTCTGATAAATCTACTTAGTCTTTTTACAGTAATTTTTAAAAAAAATATGAAATTTAGGATAATATTTATTTTATAGAGTTTTTGAAGGGTTAAATAAAATAGTAAATGTTGAGAACTTTGCCCAAAACCAGGCACTTCATTAACACTCAATTGTTATTTATCTGTTATTATGATATTTATACCCTTGTATTTTAGTTTTGTAGGCATCTAGGTAGATGCCTGCTAGATGTTCATTGAATCTTACTTTTGTATCCTCTGAATAAAGCACTAAAAAGGGTCTATTGAATTAAATTGTTTTCTTTTTATTATAACATTACTCCTGTGTTTTGAATACTTTATATCTGTACTATCCAATATGGTAACCACCAGCCACATGTAGCTAGTTTGTTTTATTTATTTATTTTGCATTTATCTTCAGATAGAGCAGGAGGGAGAGAAGGAGGAAGAGAGAGAGAGAAAGATCAATGTGAGAGAGACACACCAACTGGAGCTGGGGACAAACTGCAACAGAAGCATGTGCCCTTAGCAGGAACCAAATCTGGGACTCTCTGGTCCACAGGCCAACGCTTCAACCGCTGAACCAAACCAGCCAGGGCTGGCAGTTCAATTTTTAACTTTTTGAGGTAACACCATAGTGTTTTCCATAGTGGCTGCACCAGTCTGCATTCCCACCAGCTGTGTACTAGAGTCCCCTTTTCTCCACACCCTCGCTAGCACAAAAATATGGAACGCTTCACAAATTTGCATGTCATCCTTGCGCAGGGGCCATGCTAATCTTCTCTTATCATTCCAATTTTAGTATATGTGCTGCCGAAGCGAGCACGAGGGCAAGACTTTTAAACCCACCCACTTTTCACTCTTGTAACTGCTGCTTCTTGCTTGTTTGTCTTCCTGCAACCATCTTGTAATTGGCCTTCCTTTGATCAGTCTAGTTCCCCTTCCAGAGACTAGGCCTCATGATGCAACCTGAGTGGTCTTCCTAGTACACAAATTGAAGTGTTATTTTCTTGCATGGAATCTCTAGTGGTTCTCTGTTGCTCTTAGAATTGCATGTGGATTTCTTTAGTTGTCAACAAGATTCTTTATGATCCTGTTCCCTCATACCTCTTCAGTACATCACTGTGTTGCTCCCACTCTGTGCTCTGGTTATACTGACCTACCCACTCTGGCCTTGAAGTCATTGCATCTGCTCTTTCTTCAGCTTGGAACACATTTGCCTTACCTTTTGGCTTCCTGGCTAACTCATGCCCATTCCGCAGGTTTCTTTGGGGATACAGACCTGTGCTTAGATGTTGCTTCTTCTGCAAAGCCTCTGTGACTTCTGGGAAGCTTTCCATAGTCCTCTAAACTAGGGTCAAGTGCCTCCTGTCTTCTCTCACAGAACCCTGTGCTATTCAACATCTATTATACTAGGCTGCGATTGACATGGGTTTCTTGTCTTTCCCATACTAAGCTCTGTCAAGGTGAGAAAGGATGCTCTTTTCCACTCTTATAGCCCTAGTGCCTTGCATAGTGCCTACTAGAAGCTTTGTATATGTATATTTATTTATGTTTTATTTTTTATTGATTTTTTAGAGAGCTATAAAAACATTGATGTGAGAGAGGAACATTGATTGGCTGCCTCCTGCATGCCCCCTACTGGGGATCAAGCTCACAACCTGGGCATGTGCCCTGACTGGGAATCAAACCAGAACCTCTCAGTCCGTGGGACCACACTAAGCCCACTGAACCACACTGGCCAGGTTATACATATTTATTAAATTAAAAAAAAAGTGACCAGGAAAAGAAAGTTAGGAGTATGGGCTTTGGAGTAAAAAACTTTTGAGTTTATTCCCACCTTTGCTACTACTAGTCATGTGACCATTGCCACTTACTAGCTCTATGACTTATGTTGACCGTTTAAAGCCTCAGTTTTCTCATCTATACTGTGGTCTAACAGTGAGGCCAAATTCACGAGGTTCTTTTCAGGTCTCAGTGAGATAAAGCATGCAAAGCAATCATCCCAGTGACTTGACATAGTTCAACAAATATCATAGTAATACTGTCCTTGTAAGACATACTCAGTTTAGAACCAAAATTCATATCTTAGCTTCACTTCCTACAAACCATGGGAACTTGGGCAAAAAATTTAACCTCTCTGTGCCTCAGTTTCCATATCTTTATTTTTAAAATTTATTTATTTATTTATTTTAATTCACGTATTTCTTTTCTTTTATTTTTTTGCATTTATCTTTCAGATAGAGTGGGAGGGAGAGAGGAAGGAAGAGGTTGGGAGAAAGATCGATGTGAGAGAGACACATCAACTGGTTGCAACCCACATGACCCCAACTTGGGCGGGAACAAACTGCAACCGAGGTATGTGCCCTTAGCAGGAACCGAACCTGGGACTCTGTGGTCCGTGGGCCGACACTCTAACTGCTGAGCCAAACCAGCCAGGGCAGTTTCCATATCTTTAAAATGAAAAGTAACAAAATATGCCTGAAGGCAGCAATTTTCAACCTTTCTATTTAAAGCTCATGAAACACATAAACTAATTACTAAAATTCTGCAGCACACCAAAAAATACATTTTTTGCTGTTCTGACAAAAAAAAAAAAAAAAAAGGTATAATTCTGATTCATTCACACCAGACAGCTATTGTAGTTGCTGTTGTCAGTTTTTAATTTTTATTTGATAACCTAAGGGAAAAGAAGGAAGTACCTTGACTAAATAGTCAGGTATTGCATGTTTTAAAAATTCTTGCGAACACCAGTGTGCTGCAAGGGATTGTTGTGATGGTTAAATGAATTAATGTATGTGAAATGCTTAGAAGAGTACCTTTTCTTGACCAAACTTTAGTTGGACTGTTCTGAGTCCTCTGCTTGACTAAACCTGACCCTTGGGGTTTTGTTTCCATCCCTGTAGAGTCTAGTTTTAGCAAGAATCCTGTCAAGTCAGTTTAGCCAGAATACCCCACCCTTGATATCTGATCAAATTCCTCACTCCTACCCTCTCCCAGGTGATAACTGATCACTCTGGCCTGCCTTCAGCAAGAATCTGGTTAGGTAACCCCTTCTCTTTTCTTCTTGGTTATAAATCTCCACATTTTCCTTCCTGTCTTTGAAATTGAGCTCAGTTTTTGTTTTTTTTATCCTCACCCGAGGACATTTCCCCATTTTTTTGTTCAGACAGAGTGGGAGGGAGAGAGAGGAAGAGAGAGAGAGAAACATCGACGTGAAAGGGACACATCGAGTGGCTGCCACTTGCACAACCCAACCAGGGCCGGGGACAAACTGCAACCCAGGTACTTGCCCTTATCGGGAACCAAACCCGGGTCTCTCTGGACTGCAGGCCAACACTAACTGCTGAGCCAAACTGGCCAGGGCATTGAACTCAGTTTTATATTGAGATCTCTTTTCTCCTATTGAATAGTCCTGAATAAAAATCTATTTTTACTGCTTTACCTACTCTTAGGTCTGGTGTTTCATTGATTGCTAGCACACAGTCAGGCTGTAGGAATAGTAACCATTATTATTGCCTTCTAGAAAAAGGAAACTGTTCTTGTTTAAAAGGGATAGTGAATTCTTAGCCTCTCTCTAGATGGGTAAGAAAGATAACAGGAGTTGATAGCATGTTCCCGATGAAAAGTAAAACACTGTCACTCTTTTAGACATTGGGCCCATTCACTGTTTAGGAGAAGTTAATGGCAAAAATCCAGATGTTTTTCACAAAGCAGATTAAATATGAATTTGTAACTAAACCTTTACTTTTTTTTAGGGGATTTTCTGGTCTTATGCAGAAAAAGAATGCTGTGTTTTGTAAAGCTATGGTACCATGTGAGTAAAATTATTGATATAAATAAGTTCACTTGCTGTGGATTCAGTTTTAATGTTTTATATGATCAAAGAAGATGCTGGTAGGATGCTTTTAATATGAGATTTTACAAATTTATAATGATGCTTTTTCTTTCCAAATTTCCACCATTCCTAGCTTTTCACTGCAAGAGGAAACATACACAACTCAGCTCTTGTTCTTTAACTGAACTCTCCGAGAAACAGAATTTCCATGTCACTTTTGGAAGTTTCCAAGAAATGTGTTTCTTTTAAGAGGCTAAAAGTACAGCTTGGTGTAATTTAATGCACAAATGAACAGATAGCAGAAGAGAATCATATAGCAGTGCCAGAATTCACTAAGCAGCAAAATAACTTTTCTATAAATAGAAGCAGCATGTTTTATCATGATAGTCATTGAATAAATAAACAAAAAGCCTGAGAAACACTGAATCTTATAGGTGAGGATGAGTGTGGGAGCTAGAGAGGGGTCTCTAAGAACCGAAATAAGCCCCAAGCGCCAACATGCTACACAGAGGGAAAACAATCCCTAGGAGAAGGAACCGTCATTGAAACAAGGTTAAACTTGTATGAATATGGTGATTACTTTTTATCTTCTTGCATTAATGGGAACCTGATTTTCTCTGACAATAGTTTCTTTCCATGTTTTTCTAATAGAAAGAGATACTCACGGAGACAGTTCTCCAGGCGTCTCTTTGGTTCCTGTCTATCTTGCCAGCAGAGGCCCTGGCTGTCTGTGTTCTGGAGTATTTTCTCAGGGATACTTGTAGAGCAAACAGATTTGGGAGATAGAGGTAGTGTCTCCCTTCAGAGCAAAAGTTGGGCATGTTGACCACCTATCGTTGAAGCTTTGGGTTCCCAAAGCTCATGGTTCCTCTCCTGTATTTTCAACCCACGGAGTGTACTGATGTCTCCTTTTAATGCCCCCCCCCCTTACAAATTAAGTCTCCTAAAATGACACAAGAAAATAACAATACTCTGGTTACTGTTATTGCTATACAACCAAATATGTATATAAAGCTACACATACAATGCTATCAAGGAGTTTTATGTCTTTTGCCAACACCTACGAACCTGTGGCAGGCAAGTAGCGTAAAATCTTAGAACCCTTCCAAACTCTTGACAATACCTTTCTCACATTCCATTCCCAGAGAGTTTTATACATTCTTTGCTCTACATTAGCAATTTCTTCACTTAAAGTTCCTTTATACCATTTTTTTCTCTTATTCCTTTTCTTAGTTACCAATAACAACATATATACTTTCTCATACCATCCTTACAGATTTTATATATCACCTATCTGCCTCTCTGTCTTCCTCATTACCCTCTCTTACAAACATCTTTATACACTCTTACCTGATTTTCAGGTGCCTCAGTTCCATGGGCTCCATGAAAAGAAGTGGTTTAATCACCTGGTTTGACTTTACACATCATCAGTCAAATCTGCTCTGCTTGCATGATCTCAAATTCTGAAATTTCCTGCTCTGACAACAACCTCTTGTCTTTTTGTCTTCTCCATCATTCAGCCTTAGCTAGCTCTTGTCCTCATGGTTCAGTCCTTTGATATACTTCTCTCAATTCTCCCATGATTTAATATTGGTTATGTACCGTGTGCTAATACTGTGCTATGCAAACATTTATTTCTCATAACAATTCATGGGGGTAGGCACTATGATATCTTCATTCTACAGATTAACATTTTGAGGCTTAGAGATGAAATAAAATTCCCAAGGCTATAGAGATAGCAGGTTACAGATCCAGGGCCTGATTTAAGGCCTCATAAGCTTCAGGTCCCTACCTGATATCTGGCTTCACCACTCCTATTATAGTGATAAACTTTTTATCTCCTATAAGCAACTCCTTAGAAGATTAGACTAATGCATGTTGCTAAATAAAGTTAAAAATCTGGGTAAGTGTATCCGTACAATTCACGTTGTTTTCTTAATCAGACTTGTGCCACTCAGCAACGTTTTGATCACATGTTGCTGTTGACTTTCTATCTTATTTCTCAGAGTGATTGTTCAACATCTCTGCTTTTCTCAAGCCCCCAACTTGTTTGAACAAGCCCTTCAGCCACTCTTGTTTGAAGCCACTCAGGAGAAACTCTCTCAGTTCATTCCACTGAGTTTCTTTCTCTCTTTTTTTTACTTCTTTCTCTCAGGGGGCAATCTCTTCTGAGACTAGACTTTCCCTTGACGGCCATGACCCCATCTCTTTCACAATGTCACTCCATTCATTGTGTACCTTCTTTTACTTCTTCAATCATAAATAACCCTCTCTTCAATGCCACATTAAAAAATAACTCTTGCCCAGCCGGTGTGGCTCAGTGGTTGAGCATCGACCCATGCACCAAGAGGTCGGCGGTTTGATTCCCAGTCAGAGCACACGTCCAGGTTGTGGGCCAAATCCCCAGTAGGGGGCATGCAGAAGGTGGCCAATCGATGTTCTCTCTCATCGATGCTTCTATCTCTCTCTCCTTCTCCCTTCCTTTCTCTCTAAAATCAATAAAGAAAAAAATTACAAGAAAAACAAAACTCTTATTTTTTTAGCTGCCACAGCTTTATTTGCATTTTAATTTTTTGCATTGGGCTTTCCCTCCCTTCACTCAATGAAACACTCATCTCAAAAATCAGTAGGTATCTTACAAGCACTCAATCTAATCCCCTTCTGTTAGTCATCACTTTCACAATGTCAGTGTAGCATTTGATACTTTGCTCCTCTTTCCAAGTAAAAGCAAATGGCTGGAACTCTGAGCAAGGTCTCTGAATTCGGAACTGCCTGTGAACTGTGAACTTTGACTCTTCAACTGAACTTGCTATGAAATTAAAAATTTTAGCCTTTCTGAGCCTCAGTTTTCATATCTCCAAGAGGACTTTTATATATACTTTTAGGCTACTTAGGAGGATAAGATAAAATTATTACTTTAAAATTTTCAGCATATTTCTGATGTATAATGAATCTTCAACAAATGGCAACTATCTGCTGTATCACTAACAAAATGTTTGACACATGGTAATTTGTTGCTTTTTCCTCCCCCAGTTTACTTTTGTTTTATGTGATGCAGCATATTATTGGTTTTCCATTTGGCTTTTGGACAGATATTTTCTTCTGTCCTTGGTCTTGTCTTCTTCCCATTGTCTAAGAATATGTTCCCAGGCTTGATCCTCAGACCACTTATTTTATCTTTTTATATTTGTGTCTTTGTTCAACTATATCCTTTTCTGAATCTTCTACAACCATTTTTATGCCAATGATACCTCAATCTATGTTTGTAGTGCCACACACGATTTTATTTTTTTATCCTCACCCGAGGACATTTTTCCATTTTTTTGTACAGATAGAGTGGGAGGGAGAGAGAGGAAGAGAGAGAGAGAGAAACATCGATGTGAAAGGGACACATCGAGTGGCTGCCACCCGCACGACCAACCAGGGCCGGGGACAAACTGCAACCGAGGTACATGCCCTTAGCGGGAACCGAACCCGGGTCTCTCTGTACCGCAGGCCGACGCTCTAACCGCTGAGCCAAACTGGCCAGGGCCCACATACGATTTTAAATCAAAGCTTTTAAAATTACCTAATACTTGATGAGAACATGATAATTATAAAAAGTCAAATAATGTGAAAATGCAGGGTAGGGCAAAAGAAAGTTTACAGTTGTGAGTACACGAAACACAGTTTTCTTGTATTTTTATTTATTAATTGTTGTATCATCGTCCTTATGAATAACTATAAACCTACTTTTGCCTACTCCTGTATAGAGAGCAAAGCATGAAATTTCCTCTATTTTAACATCTAGTTCTTCAATATCTGCTATTTCTCTTGCACAAAGGAAACGAGGCATGTATAATACAGCTTTGTCTATGAAATTCTATCCAAACAACGTTTTAAAAATATTTTAACCCCAAACTCTTTATTTGTATTTCCATTTTACAGTTATAAACCACTATCTGGGAAAATGGAAAATGCTAAGTTAAAATGCAACCTGGACAAAACTACACCCATGGCCCTTCCCAAACGGCCTGCGCCCCTGACATCTCTGCCCCGGGCACTGCCAGTCTGCCAGGCCTCGCGGATCCAGCTCTCGGGTTCTTTGACGGCTCCCTCTCCTTCATTGCTGTCACCCCCTAACACATGAGACTGTTTGCCAAGTTGTATAAATTCCATCTCTACAGTGTCTCTTTTGTCCTTTCTCCTAAATGTGGTGTGAGGCTATTTTGGATCACACTATCAGTGTGATCCAGACCACCAATTTATATAAAAATTGCTTTCTAGTTCAAAGTTTAAGAGATTTTTTTTTTTTTCTTCTTAGACCAGTGCCAAGTTTTAGATTGTTTTTTTATTCTTCTATTCTGCTTTTCGCATCACACTTTAATTCTTTATCACATTTTCTACTTTTTGTTTCTACAATAGATGCTTCTCAAGGGCAGAGACCACATTGTCCACTTTTAGTCTCCTAATAGATTCTGTCTTGGACATTTTTTTAAAATACTAATTTAAACAGTGGTGCTTCTCACCATTGGTTTTTGAAGTTGATTTGATGAAGTGTGGGAATTTTTCCACTTCTAGTGTCTTCCTGCCTTAATCTATTCTTCACACCCTAAATTGAGCTTCCATCATCTTTTGCCGAAACTGTCTGTTGGCTCTCCATTGACTACTGAATATATATATGTATTCAGCAAATTATTTTGTAAAAATTTTAGAGAAGTGTGGTGTCTGTATGCTCTTAAATGAATGTGAGACAACATGGACATATCTGTTAATTTCAGGGAATGTTTTGTTTATCTGCCACTTTATCAAGACGTTCTGTCTCCCAGCCATGTGCGTTCTATATTTTTGACAAATGGACCTTTCTTGCACAAACTTCATCATCAAATTGGCTCAAGAATAAATTGCTGAAAGAGAACTTTCTTATATTAGCCCTGTGATGGCTAATGAAGATGGATGAGACAAAGCAGGGACTTTGCTTGCAGAGGGGGGGATCTCAT